AGAATGAGGAGCTGGATCTGCTGCAGTGTGGCTATGGAGGGCGGCACTGGTAGGGAATGCACTAGGAAGTGGCATTAACAGGTAGCACTATGCAGTAGCAGCCATGCCTTTGGAAAGGGCCAACAGAATGAGCAGCTGGATCTGCTGCAGTGTGGCTATGGAGGGCGGCACTGGTGTTGCCTGGGCCTCCTGAGGTGGGGGGAAGGAGGGGTAGGCGGGAGGAAGGGAAGAGGAGAGGAGGACATTTCAAAGGCGCTAGAGGAATTCATTCCTGGTAATTTGAAGGCGCTAAGAGAGTAAGAAGCTGGATCTGGTGCAGGGTGAGGTGACTATGGTGGGGGGTGACTATGGTGGGGGGCACTGGTGTTGCCTGGCTCTCTCGAGAGGCAGGGAGGAGAGGTAGGAGGGAGGAGGGGAGTAGGCAAGGTGGGGGATGGATGGGGATGGGAAAAAACCTGGGCAGGTAGCACCTGACCAGATAGCACCTGACGAGATATTACCTGACCAGATAGCACCTGACGAGATAGTACCTGACCAGATAGCACCTGACGAGATAGTACCTGACCAGATAGCACCTGGCCGGATAGTACCTGCTCCATCCGTACGAAGTTGTAGTCCCTGCCTTGGTCAAATGCTGCCTTGACGTTCTGATAGAGGCGAACAGGGGTGAAGAGTGGTGAAGAGGGGTGAAGAGTGGTGAAGAGGGGTGAAGAATGGTGAAGAATGGTGATGGGAGGTGGTGGGAGGTGAGAAAAAGTAGTGGGGTAGTAGGTTAGGTCCAGAGAGGAACACGAGGAGTGGGTTGCTACACTGCCCTGGGTTGACAGCTTGCTTCTCAACTCAGAAAGAACGGACTGATCCCGGTGCCACACAGTTGCTCCTCAAATTCGTGAAATGTCACTCCTAACCGTCGCAAATGCACAACGAACCCAATTATACCCCTCGCGCCACACCCACCTGCTGCACAAACCCCTTTTGTTGCAGGTGGTTTTTTCAATTTATAGGAAACCCACTTATACCCCTCGCGCCACACCCACCTGCTGCACAAACCCATCGGTAGGGTCAGGCGGCTGAGAACCGTCTGCTGACACAACTCCCTCGTACCCCTCTCCACTCCTTATGTTGTCCACCTGGTGGCATGGTGAGTGGGGAAGGTGGGGTGGGACATGCATATGAGTAAATAGATGGACAGTCAGTGTGCCAGATGGTAATAATAATGATATGAATGCTGATAACAAAGAACAAGAATAATGTATATGTTTGTAAGCATATGGGTGTACCATGTTGAGTGTGGTGTAGACTAGCCGGACCCACAGCGTTCGAACCCGCACCTCCTGTGGAGGACCGGGGGTGAGAGGGGGCGAGAAAGTGAGGAGAGAAGGGGGGAGATTGACAAAGGGTTGAGAACGGGAGGAGAGAGTGAAAGACTGCACTCATACCTTCTGTGGATGACCAGAATGAAGATTGTATGGTTGGAGGGGAAGAAATGAGGAGGGACAAGGAAGCAAGCATAAGCGGGGCTGCGGTCACACTACGAACAGAAGACATAAGCGATAAGCAGGTGAGTGAACACACACAGAGAGCGGTGTGCCCAAGCCAACAAACTTACCTGCCCATCTAACTTACCTGCCCATCTAACTTACCTGCCCATCTAACTTACCTGCCCATCTAACTTACCTGCCCATCTAACTTACCTGCCTCGTGCCTTTCGAGAATTCTCAAAAGTGCATGCACAATCCCTGTGCCCATCCTCCCACCCCATGCCCATCCATCCATCCCATACCCCCATGCCTCCATGCCCCTTTGCTTCATACTTCCATGCCTGCATACCCTCCTAGGTGACCCCACCAACCTCAGCCAGAAAGGGCCCTCGAAGGGCTTTAAGAGCGCTGCTCCTTCTCTCATCGTCACTATCCAAATCCCCCTCCACCCTCTCCTCCTCTCCCACCTCTCTCACCCCCTCCTCATCTCCCTCCTCTCCCCTTCCACCCCCCTTCCCATCTCCACTCCCTGCAGCCCCTCCTTCCACCCCCTCCACTCTTCCTCCTCGTCTCCCCTCCTCCCTCTCCTCCTCACCCTCCACCTCCTTTCCTTCTCGTTTTCTCTCCCCCAATCCCCCCCCGCTCTCCCCCCAACTTCCCCCCTCCGCTTCCCCCTCCTCCCCCTCCTCCCCAGCGCCACCAGCGCCCATCATCATGGAGAAGGGGGCGGGCAGGGCAGCCTCCGCCAGCAGCAGCTTCAGCTGGAGGTCCTTAAAGCCCAGCGACTGCGCCCGTGCTGCCATGCACGCGTCTACAAAGTCACCCAACGCTTCCTGATCGGGTAGTCATGTGGGGGGGAATCGGGGGAGGCGGGAGGGAGGAGAGTTGGGAGGGAGGAGAGAGGGGAGGGAGGAGAGGGGGAGAACACAATGAAGAGACCTCAGCTACCCTGCTCCCGCCCATTCTCCTCCCCCTCTCCCCACCCCACACACACGCCCACCTCTCGTGGCTTCCCCAGCCCTTCAATCCTGGCCTGCACAAACGTCAAGAGTCAATGCACATGCTCACACTCTCACTCGCCCTTTCCCGCACACAGATGCACTCACACACTCACACCTCTTGGCTTCCCCAGCTCTTCAAGCCGGGTCCACACAAACGCCCGCTGCAATGCCAGAGCCAACTCACGCCCTTCAATCACACGCACTCACACATTCTCACTCTTCTTCATACTCGCACACCCACCCACCCACCTCTCGTGGTTTCCCCAGCCCTTCAATTCTGGCCTGAACAAACGCCCGCTGCAGCGCCAATGCCAGTTCATGCCCTTCCAGCCCTCTCCCCATGCCGTCCCCCACTCCCCCTCCCCCTCCCCCTCCCCCTCCCCCTCCCCCTCCCCCTTCACTTCTAGTTGGTGCTAGGCCTCTTGCTCCTTCTGCTCCTGCTGCTTCTGCTGCTGATGCAGCTTCTATCAAAGATGTGTTGGCAGAAGCAGCAGCCGCAGCACTAGAAGCAGCGGCTGCTGCCGCTGCTGCTGCAGCCTTAGCCACTGCTCCTCCTGCCTCTGCCGCTGCAGCAGCAGCAGATGTAGCAGCATTAGCGGCTGCTGCAGCTCCTATTGTTGCACGCAAGCCAGTCTTTCCGCTTCCCCGCTCCGCCCCTGCTGCTTCCGCCACCTCCCCCGCTGCCCGCGCAACCTCCCCCACCGCGCTAGCTAGATTTCCCATCACGCACAGAAGCTGCGTCAGCGATCTCTGCAGTGACGTCAGCTGCTCCGCTGCTGCGCGCGCGGATTCCTCCCCCCCTTCCTCGTGGGTTCCTCCCGAGGTAGCTCGAGTCACAGTAACACGACATGGTGACGTGGCAGTTTGTCTAACACCTAACGGCGCACGAGCGCGGCTTTGAGGCGCCTGAAAATTCGCACTAATTGACTGCTGCTCGTGACGAGATAATGCATCAGCGAGGCATAGCTTGTTCTCCGGAAGACTCCGAAACCCGCCGGACCATGCTGAAAGCCTCCCTACAGGTCTCCCCATGCGGTCCGTTATAAAGTTCTTTCTGGAGGAAAATGCGGGCCTTGTATCGAGTGGACTGGCGGCCGGACCTCTGCTAAGGACTGGATTCGGTCCTGCTAAACCGAACGGCATTTGTGTTCGAGAAAGAGTCATGTTCAGGCCAGAAGCTAATATGAGGTTTGAGCTGTAAGGTGGCCACTACGTGAATGACGCCGCGAACTGCTAGACTTGGGCCATAGATTACGCTGGGCGCAGCTGCAATCTCTTTTGATCAGGGCGGTTTGACCAGCTACCCGTCCCCATCTGCGCTAGACAATGGCTCTGTTCTGTAGGCATTTGCCCGAGGGGGGAGGAGGGGGGCGAAAGCAAATGTCCGGGGCTCCTACGCAGTTTCCCAACCGAGATCACCTCCACCCCACTACAACCGAAAGCGCGAAACTTCGCCCGCCAGGGCGGAACCTGCCGACGGTAAATGGCGAATTTACAGTTAAAACTTCGCGCCCTATAGGCAGGGGTACAACGATGGGCCCAACCCTAAATAGCCGGGTAAACATTTACAAGTGGGGGTTCGGCGCTAGAAAAACGGGCTGCAAACTCAACTCCCAACTTTCCCAACACGTATCAAACAGCCGCAGCAACGACCAACTCTTACCAAGCAGCAGCGTGGGTTTTCAATCTCGGCAAGATGGTTGAGAGGGGGGGGATTTTCGTTGATCGGGTTGTGCCTTTCTGAGTGGGTTACGAGCAGCCTGAGGGAATGTCCATCGAGGGTAGAAGGTGGGTGTCCCCACCCCCCGTACCTCCCTCCCATGTCTCTCGCCCCGCCCTGAAAAAGCGGGTTTCGAAGGGCGGGGCGAATGGCGTGAATTTTGCCAGAGGAGGAAGGTGGGGAGGGGAAATAGGTAGTTTCGTATGGGCCAAAACCCACGGGGGTAAATGGCTGTTCTGTAGCCATTTCCCCTCAAACAGGTTCGGAGGGTAATGGCTGGCTCGGCAACGTCTTGCGGGCTGACCGCCTTCCGAACCCAAAAAACTCAGTGGGGGGAAGCTACCTATTTCCCCTCGCTCCCCCTCCGCCAGGGCCTACAGAACAGAGCCGATGCTCCTTTGACAGGCAGTGAGGCTATGCACTGGAAAGTGAAATTCGTTAACGTGAGATCTATTTTCAGATGCAGATGTACATGAGTTTGTTACTGGAATGTTTAGGGTGGATATATTAGTGACTAGATGTTGTGGACGATGCTGTTCATACTGCCAAGACAAGGAGTATATTCCTGGTCATCAGTTCAGGTTGTCAATTTCTGGAGTGAGGTCCTCAAATTTGTCATGGCAATATTTTATTTTCACAATTTATTTTCCTCCTTGAAGGGGCCTAAGACTTCTCTACTATGGCTAGGAGGGACTGTGCAGTTTAAGGCACAATCGATTTCACACTGGAGCAGTGTAAGATGCAGTGGGGTGAGGAAGAAACGGGCAGGCTGATACTGTAGTTGAAGGGGTGAGTGAGTCAGGCAGGGGTACAAGAGAAGACGAGGTGGAGATCGAGGGCGGGGAGTGGTGAGAAAAGGGAAGCGGGGAGGGGTTTAAGAAGAGCAAGATAGATGGTGAGAAAGCGATAGGAAGATGAGCAGGATGGGAAGGGTTTTGGGATGGGGAAGAAAGGAGAAAGAATATGGAAGGTAAGTGGATGAAAGAGAAGATGGTTAAAGAGTGGAGAGGGAATGAGAAGAGGCGGAATGAGAAGAGGAGGAATGAGAAAAGGGGAAGAAGAAGGGGGGAGGAGAACGAAAGATACAGAGAACGAGGGGGAAGAGAACGGGGAAGAGAGCGAGAGGGGGAAGAGAACGGGGAAGAGAGCGAGGGGGAAGAGAACGAGGGGGGAAGAGAAAGAGAGGAGATGAGAACGAGGAGAGAAGAACGATGGGAGAAGAAAACGAGGGGAGAAGAGAACGGGGAGAAGAGAACGAGGGGATAAGAGAACGGGAGAAGAGAACGAGGGGATAAGAGAACGGGAGAAGAGAACGTGGGGAGAGGAGAACGTGGGGAAAAGAGGGCGAAGGGGGAAATGAACGAGGGGAGGGAAGAGAAAGAGGGCCAAGAGAAAGACGGGAAAAGGGAAAGATAGTGGAAGAGAGGAAGAATGGAAAGAATAAGCGGGGGGGAAGCTGGGATGAAAGAAGAGGGGAGACTTCCTATTAACGTTAACTATCGTTTTGGACGTTCGAAGCAACGGTAACTAATAGGAACCCCGGCTGCGACTGACTGTAACGGAGCACGGAAGGAGTAGAATAGCGTCAGAAGAAAGCTGACAAAACTGATAACACTGTTGACACGTGAGCGGAAGATCTAATCATCAAGTCAACCGAAATGCTAGCCAGTCTAACCCAACCCTAAGCGTGAAGAGACAGCTTGCATCTCCCTCCCTTCGCGTAACACACAGCCAATATCCGCCACCTCGTTCAGCTCCATCAAACACCAGATCTACAAGAACCAAGTCCTGCAATAACTTAATCCCTCTTGGCCCGCTTGCCACCCTTGGCAGCCTTGGCGGCCTTTCCGTAGTTGCGAATGTGGAAGTTGACGAAGAGGTAGAGGAGCGAGGAGTTGAAGAAGAGGTTGAAGCAGAAAGACTCGAATCCGGCGCATCCAGTCGGCCGGGTGAAGTGGAAGTAGATGAGAGGGAAGGAGACGAAAGTGCCGATCATGAACTGCGAGCATCAATAACAAAGAGTTAGTTCTAGCATTCAATCAATTGAGTTTTGTTCGCGAAACCAGAAGAGAAAGGTTCATGATACATGGTGTAGAAAGCATGATGACAGAGAAAACCGTACCTGAATGATCTGGCTGTTGGTGACGAACATCTTCCAAGGAGGAGGCATGCCGATGCTGTTGACACAAATCGCAGGAAAAAGGCGACGTCAGTTGCCAAGATTCGCGAGAGAGCAATGTACGTAACTTTCTGTTTTCGTACTTTCAGGAACCAACTGGAGAACGACGTGATCGCAACTTCTGATTCCATACCTGTGCATGAAGTAGTAGAAGTACATCATCACGTGGATCCCTGTGTTGATGGTGATGGCGATGACCTGGAGAGACTGCGTGTTCTGCTCACAAAAACAGAAAAGATAACAAATATGAGCAATGCTTTTGTGCCTGTACAGTGGGGATTGTATTGTGCGTTGATCTTCTCAGTTAATTAGAGTTTCCTGATCGAATCGTACTTCGTTGCTAGACTAAGGTGGCGTCCCTCGCGTTCGTCTACAGTTGGGCTAGTCCGGTTACTCACGTTATAGATCGGTTCATGAGTTTACAGTTGTGGATCGCGTTATAGATCGGTTCTTGAATTTACAGTTGTGGATCGCAATATACCATGAACACGCGATAAACCACCAGGACACGACGGTGTAAAGGTAAGAAAATAACTCACTGTTAGCCACAGCCAGCAGAGGAAGACGATGGTTGCATGGTGGTACACGTGGAGAAACGACAGCGGCTTGTTCTTCAGCACCAGGATGACAGTATCCAGGAGCTCGTAGTACTTGCTGAGGTAGTAGATGTAACTCCAGAACCACAGATAACCGACTGGCTTGACGGTTGACGGGAAACAGAGAAGCCACGTATACTTGCCCTGCAAACAAAGAAAAGGAATGCACCGTCAATCACCGAATCTGTCGTGATTTGCTGAAGGATGGCCAGCAATGTACCATGATGCCTTACCATGCCGGTGTCATACTTGTTGATCTCGGAATCCAAGAGCATTGCGTGGATCGTTCCCAGGAACATCGCCAGGGACCAGAGGCACAGGATCAGGTTGTGAATGGCAGGGAGGAAGCCCAGATTCACTGGTGCCATCTTGTTCTTTGTCCGGTACCATTTCAGCCCTAGAATGAACGCGACATAGCCTATACATGTGCAGAGCATCAACGGAAGGTTCGACACCGGCGTCTCATCGACCTTCCACTCGAAAGTCTGCACGAGAGGCTCCGTCGCAGGCCAGACATAGTAGAACGGCGTATCCCTGGTCATGGTGGCTGTGTAGTTGGAGGAAGGGGATGCTGCTTGAGAAATAACTTCAGTCTCCACAGTCATGGTGATCAGGCGGCCTTCAGCTGGAAAGATCAAAATAAGGAACACTGCGCTTCAAGTTGCAGCCACTCCAGTGGGAAGCTGGATTCTGTTCAGACTGAGAGGAAGCAACAAGGCTGTGGGGAGAGAAAAGGTATAGATAGGACTGGGAGAGATAGGCACAACTCCCATCTTCCGCTTGAAGGCTCGAGCGGAGGAGCCCTCGAATCTACCGGCATTCAGACGGTCGAGATTGGTTGTCGTGTGGCGATCTACGCGGGAGCATGCCACAGCCACAAACCAGAGCTCTGATCGCGGGAACCTCTTGGTGACTGACTTTTGTCTGCCTCAGTTACCGAGCTGAAGAGCACTAAGCCGCTGGTTTTGCTGGTGGTTTCACTAGAATGTCCAGCCTTGTTCACAGGCTTGGCATGGAGTTTCAGCGAATTACGGCTTTCCGTGTGGAGTATGTGGGGACCGCAGGGACACAACAGCTGGTTTGGCTGGGGCAAACGTGCGGGTTCAGTGAAAGGAAAGCTTGTGACGTGGCACCTTCGAGAACATGATCTAGACCAGCTCCGCCCCGCGCAGGAAGCACCGCCAATGACACCCTGGTTCGGGCCGAAGCGTCTGACAGGGGGGTCTAAGAAAGCAAATCTGGCCAACCACACAGTAGATCCCGTGTGTGACGAGCCTGAACAGGGCGGAGACCTAGTCAGGTTCTTGGGTGGTTTGGACGAGCACCCATGCCATATTTCGATTCCACGACTTCGAATCAATGCAGTGAATAAGTGTTACACTTCTAGATACAATATATAGAAATATAGCCTAAAATATGTCAATCACCATGCAGAACATGGAATGGATAGGGTGGCAATGCCTTGGTGCAAGCCTGCTGGGCCGTTACCAGTACTATCTCTCAACTCTGCGAAGGGGAATACATACTACATGCCGCAAGGCTTTATGACCTGGAACACCCAGCCTGTAAGCGAACATCTAAACGCAGTGTACAACCCATAAGCATCTGGAGGGTCACATCATTGCGATATATTTACCTGTCACATGTTGCGAGCTGAATTCCACTGCATCCTTAGCCCCCAAATAAGGCTGCGCCGCACTCTTGGCCCGCGTAACCCCCTTCCCTCCCGCCTTCTTCCCCTTCGTCTCTTTCCCCTCCCCAACGCCTGCATCCTTCGCTTTTGCCTTTGCTCCCGCCCCACTCCCGCTCTTCTCCCCAGCCTTTTTCTGCGGCACCTTTGGAGCTGGCGATTTGGGCCGAGGGGCCGACTGTGCTCTTGGAATGGGCGCGGCAGCAGCAGCAGCAGCAGCACCAGGCGGAGCACCAGTTCCGATAGTGGGTTGGAAGTTATACTTGGGCTCTTCCCCCTGAATGTGCAGGTCTTGCACCTTGTGTTGGATGGCAGACAGGCGTGTCGCCACCTCAGCCATGGTCGGCCGCTGGGCGGCGCTTTTTTGGACGCACATGACCGCCACATTGGCGAATGCTTTCATCCCTCCTGGTGGGTAGTTGTTTTCCAGGGCCGGGTCAACTACGGATTTGAGCTTGCCTGCTGTGATCAGAGGAATGGCCTGGATGGAGGGGAGTGGAGAGGAGGGAGTGAGATGGTATGTGAGAAAGAGAAATAACTTCAAGTCCACATGTATATCTATGGCAGAAACACCTGCCAAAAAGTGCCTCTAAAATCATCACAGACTTGCAGAAACACCCTCACCTGCCCAAGTGTGAAACACACTCGCACAGGCCAACACACGGAAGCACCCAAACCAGCGGGAATACCCACACATGTGAACCCATACATTCACACACCCCACACTCAACCATTGCATGACTGTGGTGGTGGCCCCTGGCTCCATGGCACTCGCTTCAATGTTGCGCTCGGAGCGCTGCAGCAGCGACGCGACGTTGCCCAGGCCTAAGCCACTCACCGACATACCGGCCAGCAAGCCTACCCGAATACATACAGACCCAACCCATGCACGCACTCACCCATTGCACGAGCGTAGTTGTGGCCCCTGGCTCCATGGCGCTCGCTTTGGCATTGCGCTTGGAGCGCTGCAGCAGCGATGCTACGTTGCCCAGGTTCATCCCTGTCTTCTGGCTCGGCTCTGCTAGGATGGCTCTGCGGCCCGTCACCAGCTCCAGAAGAACAACCCCAAAGCTGCAGAGACAGACGGGCAAACAAGACACGCACACACATATATGAAACTCGTACAAGAGGTGTTTGGGTGCCTCCCCAAAGCAACAATGCTCAGTGCCTCCATCAGGGTGGCAATGCCACATTGCTTAGCCCCCATCCTCGACTTCTGACTAGGTTTCGCCCGCCCAAGATGGCCCGGCGCTCCGTCACCAGCTCCAGCAGCAACCCCAAAGCTGCAGAGACAGACACACATGGATGTGCATATGGGAGGGGGGGTTTGAGGATGCCTCAGGGCTTCCAAGTCAACTCCGGCAGGATACCCATCAGCCTCATTCTCGCCACATGCCGCCCGGGCCGCCCTGACCACTCACTTTCAGCAGCCTCTTGCGTGCTCGCTGCTCACCTGTACACGTCACTCTTGGGCGTGGCTATGTAAGTCCGCGAATACTCCGGGTCACAATACCCAGGGGTTCCCATCAGCCTCATTCTCGCCACATCCCACCCGGGCCCGCCCTGGCCACTCGTTTTCAACAACCCATTCCCTGACACTTACACCTGCCTGTCTCATCCTCCCACACTCACACCTACCTGTCTCACTTACCCTCACATCTCCCACACTCCCACCCTATAATACACCTCTCACTCTCCCACACACGCACCTGTACACGTCACTCTTGGGCGTGGCGATGTAAGTCCGGGAATACTCCGGGTCACAATACCCAGGCGTGCCCATCAGCCTCGTTCTCGCCACATGCCGCCCGGGCCCACCCTGGTCATTCGCTTTCAGCAGCCCGAAATCCGCCACCTTGGCCTGCAGATCCGCTGCCAGCAGGATATTCTCCGATTTGATATCGCGATGGATCACGGGCGGGCGGGCAAAATCGTGCAGGTAGTGCAGGCCCTCGGCTGCCCCTACCGAGATGGCGACACGCTCGTCGAAAGTGAGAGGGGGAGGGGGCGCCTTCTTCGGTGCTTCTGTTCAGAGGACGATTAGAAGGAGAGTGGGGAAAGGGCACAAGCATGGGTGAAAACGAGAACCACCGAGGGCAAGATGTGTGTGCAGGTAGCGCAGGTCCTTGGATGCTCCGGCAGAAATCATTACTCGCTTGTCAAATGGGAGAGGGAAAGGGGGCGCCTTCTTGTGCAATTATTCCGTTGAGGGATTTGAGTTGAAGGGAGAGAGAGCGGAAAGGGAGGGTAAAAGAGGGAGAGGAATTGGGATGCGGGATTTGAGGGTGCCGTTGTGCATGAACTCATAGATGAGAATTTGCTTGCGGCCATCTCTCATTGCAAGCATCCCAGCCCATGAGTCCACCTCCAGAGAGTGATGCAGGCACCACGGCACGGTGGATGCAAGAGGAGAGCGTGCCATGGTGCTTGAACTCGCAGATGAGAATTCGCTCGTCACAGTACTCAACTCAGTGCATAACACTTGGTGCATAACATAACACTCGTGGCACGCATACCAGTTGGGACACAGCACTCACCTCCTGTAGGGGATGCAGGCACCACAGCACGGTGGATGCAAGAAGAGAGGGTGCTGTGGTGCATGAACTCGTAGATGCGAATGCGCTCGTCGCACTACTCAACTCAGTGCAGAACACTTTGTGCATAACACTCGTGGCACGCACACCAGTTGGGACACGACACAGCACTCACCTCCTGTAGGGGATGACGGAAACACAGCGCGGTGAATGCGAGATGCGAAGGTGCCATTGTGCCATTTGCTCGTCACACAACGCAAGCAGCCCAGCCCAGACACTCATCTCCAGTAGGGGATGCAGGCACCACGGCACGGTGGATACAGGAGGCGAGCGTGCCATTGTGCATAAACTTGTTAATGGTCCAGCGCTCGTCACACAGTGCAAGCAGCCCAGCCCAGCCGAGCCCATGAGACCCACCTCCAGTAGGGGATGCAGGCACCACGGCACGGTGGATACGGGAGGCGAGCGTGCCATTGTGCATAAACTCGTAGATGAGAATTCGCTCGTCACAATCCGCCCAGAAGCCTATGAGTCGCACGAGATGCTGGTGGGCCATGCGACTCATGAATGACACCTGGTAGGAGGAATGGTGGCGAGAGGTGGCAAGGGGTAGCAAGGAGTAACAAGGAGTGACAAGAATTGACCGGACTGGTACTTCCTGTGAGGCGCACGAGGTGCTGGTGGGCCATGCGACTCATGAATGACACCTGGGATTAGGAGGGCAGGGCACAGGAGAACGGAGGCAAGGAGTGACAAGGAGTGACAAGGAGTGACAAAGAGTGACAAGGAGTGACAAGGGGTGACAATGAGTAACAGCAATGGCACAGTTGAGGAGCACAAGGAGCTGGTGGGCCATGCGACTCATGAAGGACACATAACACGAGGGAGGACCGGGAAGGGAGAATGGGGGACGGGGGCACTGAATGATATGGAAAGACAACCCCGCCCAACCCAGCCCTCCCTCTCCTTCCCGATTTTCCTCCAGCTAAAACCCTGCACTCAAAACTATGTCATTACAGCCCAAACACCCAACCCAGCCCACCACACAGCCCACCGCTCTCCACCTTCTGCCATCTTGGGAAATTTGCCTCGTGAGCCTTATGAAGCTCAACCCAACCCAACCCAACCCAACCCAACCCAACCAAGCCCAACCCAACCAATCCCAAACCAGCCCAACCTAACGCACCTCCTTCTCAAATTCCTCCAGAAAAGACCCCGACACATTCCCTGCCCGCTTCACAGCCCATATCTCGCCACCTTCACTCCCACCACCGCGCCCAACAATCCCCTTGAAGACCGTGCCATACGCACCCTCCCCTAGCTTCCTCTCAGGGCTCCACGAGTCTGTTGCTGCTAGGATGTCCTTTAGAGGAATCTGCCTCACAAGCTTTATGAAGCCCAAACCAACCCAATTCAATCCATCCCAACCGATTCAACCCAGCCCAACACAATCTAGCTCACCTCCTTCTCGAACTCTTCCAAATGAGACCCTGACACATTGCCTGCCCGCTTCACTGCCCATATCTCGCCATTGCCACCCTCCCCACCGCGCCCAACAACCCCTTTAAACACCGTGCCGTTCGCGCCCTCCCCTAGCTTCCTCTCCGGGCTCCACGAGTCTGACGCTGCCAGAATGTCCTCAAGGGAAATCTGCTTCACGGGCCTTATGAAGCTCAACCCAGCCCAACCTAGCCCAACCCAGCCCAGCCCAACACAACGAAACCCATCCCAACCCATCCCACGCCAACTCACCTCCTTCTCAAACTCCTCCAGATGTGACTCCGACTCGTTCCCAGCCCGTTTCACAGCCCATATCTCGCCATCTCCACCCTCCCCACCGCGCCCAACAACCCCCTTGAACACCGTGCCGTACGCGCCCTCCCCGAGCTTCCTCTCAGGGCTCCACGACTCTGTCGCTGCTAAGGGAATTCAAGCCTTAGGAAGCTCAACCCAACCGAACCTAACCCAACCCAGCCCAACACAGGCCAACCCCGCCCATCCCAACTCACCTCCTTCTCGAACTCCTCCAGGTGAGACCCCGACACATTCCCAGCCCGTTTCACAGCCATCTCCACCTTCCCCACCGCTCCCAACAACCCCCTTGAACACCGTGCCATACGCGCCCTCCCCTAGCTTCCTCTCCGGGCTCCACGAGTCTGTTGCTGCTAGAATGTCCTCCAGGGGAATCTGGCTTAGCCTTATGAAGCTACACCCAGCCCAATCCAGCCCAACCCAGCCCAGCCCAGCCCGGCCCAGCCGAATCCAACTCACCTCCTTCTCAAATTCCTCCAGATGAGACCCCGACACATTGCCCGCCCGCTTCACTGCCCATATCTCGCCATCTCCACCTTCCCCACCGCGCCCAACAACCCCCTTGAACACCGTGCCATACGCGCCCTCCCCTAGCTTCCTCTCAGGGCTCCACGAGTCTGTTGCTGCTAGAATGTCCTCCAGGGGAATCTGGCTTAGCCTTATGAAGCTACACCCAGCCCAATCCAGCCCAACCCAGCCCAGCCCAGCCCGGCCCAGCCGAATCCAACTCACCTCCTTCTCAAATTCCTCCAGATGAGACCCCGACACATTGCCTGCCCGCTTCACAGCCCATAGCTCGCCATCTCCACCTTCCCCACCGCGCCCAACAACCCCCTTGAACACCGTGCCATACGCGCCTTCCCCTAGCTTCCTCTCCGGGCTCCACGAGTCTGTCGCTGCCAGAATGTCCTCCAGGGGAATCTGTTTTGCAAGCCCGCCGCCTGCTGTGAGCGATTCTTGTACCGCATGTGACACAAACGGGGATAGTTCTTGCATGTCTTCGGCGCTTTTGGTTCGGTTGTGGCTGGGTTTCTTGGCCAATCCTTTCCCTCCTGCTGCTGCTGCAGCTGCAGCAGCACCAGTCGCTGCACCCGCTTCCCCACCACCACCACCAGCACCGGCAGCATCAGCAGCAGAACCAGAAGCACCACCGCTAGCAGCAGCACTGCCACCTCCTGTAGTGAACACAGCGGCATTCCTCTTCGGTTCAAACACCACCGTCTTGACCAGCATCCCTTCGGTCCACGCCAGCCCGGCTCCCAACAGCCGTCTCTTCACCTCCTCCCGGAACCCCGGCAGCACCACCCGCAGCAGCAGCGGGCGCTGTGACTCTAACAAACCGGACTCTAACGAGCGTGGCACGCCCAGGTCAGTAAGGAGCATGCCTACAGGCACAACGGAGAGGACTTTGTGGATTAGCAGCTCATCAGGGTCAATCCCTAGCCATTCCGCCAGCCATTGATAGTCTCGGATTCGCTCCAATAGAATCCTTGCTCCCAGCCGCGGCCCTTTCGGAGTTCCTGGTATGGATGCTGCTGCTTCTGTGGGTGCCCCTGGTGCACATGTCTTGCTGTCAGCTGTCAGGTTACTCGAGTCAGAGGATAAGTTAGGCGTTACAGCGACTGAGAAGGCCCGCTGGTGGTTCTGCTGTTGCCGGTCAGAGAAAATCGAGTTAGCGGCTCTAGGTGACTTCTGAGTCGAGTCAAGAATCACCTCCGACTGCGTTCGCAGGTGTTGCTGCTTCTGCTGGTTCTGGTTAGAGAAGACAGGGCTAGTGGCTTCAGGTCTCCCTTGGGGTGTAAGTGCTGCTGCTGAGGGGGTAGAGGAGGTGGAAGAAGCAGAGGGAGATTTTCCAGAGGGGGTCGTAACGGACTGCTTAGGGGCGAACAGTGCCCTGATATCCTGAAGCCCGTCATCCCATATAATACAGTCATCCTCGATATTGTCACTCTCGTTAGTGTCAGAGTTGTCGTCATCATCCTCGTCGTCTTCCTCTTCTTCTTCCTCCTCTCCCCCCGATATCCGCCTCTCCTTCTCTCCCTCGTTTGATTGACTGCATCCGCTTGAGACCTTTGAAGTATCAAACTCAAATCCAGATCCCCTCCCACTCGCTCCCACTCCTCTTCCTTCTCCCTCCTCTTTCCTCTCCCCACCCTCCTTCTCCCCCGCCTCTCTCCTCTCCAAATACCTCACTTCCTCCCGTCCATCCCTTAACACAGTGAAACTCGCTTCCGTTGCTCCCTCTATTGCTGCTTTCAGTGCCTTCCCCAGGATAGAAAAACGGGCGAGGGAACGAGCATGTGTGACACCAAGACCGTACAGTGACCCCTTGCAGTTTAGGAACAGGCCCTGAATCTCGTCCCCCGCCTCCTCCAACAGCTGCTCCAGAACCGTCAGATCGTCCTCATCCAACGGCGGAAGCGCTGCGGATACTGGCTGGTCCCTGAGATTGCCAGCAGCGGCAAGGAAAGACCAACCTTTTAGTTCTCCTGAAACTTCTGTTGAAACCCCTGGAGCATCCTTAGAAACCCCTTCACCTGACACTTCCCCTGCTACATAGTGGTCACTTTTCTGCTGCTGCTGCCCCTCCTCCTCTTCCTCCTCCTCCTGCAGCTTCGGGAACAGCCTACGGCAGCGAGAGACTTCCAGAGACGCACACATTGCAAAGACGCGGATAGGAAACAGCGAGGCTCGTTGGCTTACTCCCTGTTTTGATGAAGAGAGGATGAATAATGAGGTATTGTTAACTTAAGAGCTGGGGAGGGGGGTGGAGTGGAGGAACGCGTGCAAGGATTGGTGATAGGGAAACGGAAAGGACGATTGACGCGAGAATGCATGGCGCGTGAGTGTGTCCCCACAGCCTCCCTTCCCCGACTCCCAGAACCGGAAAGTCTAATCCAATGCCACGTAGACTGCATAGCTCACCTCTTCCATCTTATCCATTGCCACGTAGACGTCTTTCGCCAGGTCCTGCAGGGCCTCGTCCAGGGACGCTATGACGTCAGCAGCGGGCGGGAAACCATCCGCCAGCGCGGAGACGAACTGCGCGTTATACATGAGCACCGCGTCCTGCACTGACGCGTACAGCGCTTCCCACTGCTCCCCCTGGGCGGGACTCTGTTCCGCTGGTGCTGAGGAGAGAGGGGAAGGGAAGCAGGATGAGGAGGGCAGCGGAAAGGCGAAGGGAAGGGAAAGGGAGATTGGACGAGAAAGTGGATACGATTTGGTAACCTTGGGGGGGTTTCGGGAGTGCTAAACACGAGCGCGGAGACGAGCCGCGCATTGGTCCTGGTTTAAAAAGTAACGAGCCCATACAAAATGTACCTGCGACGTCGAGAGTCGACAGCGGAGCTGTCTGAGCCGAAGGAAACCCTTTCACGGGTCCCGAAAATCCCCAGTCGCCAGCAGCCGCAGAGCCCTCACTCGCGGAGGATGGCACCGGCATGACAAAAGACATGGTCGACGAAGATAACCCATTTTCGGTCTTATTATTTTCGCCGAATCTTCGGCCGAAGCCGAAGCGACCGCCGAGCTGAGGGGGAGGCGAGACGGAGATGCTGTGGGAGTTTAAGCTCGACGGTATAGGAGCCACTAGGCTATGGCTCGCACAATTTATTCGGTCCTCTGAAAGGCTGTCCGCACTTAAGTGTTTCGACAGGTGGGCCTTGGGACCGGAACCTTCGGAAAAGGCTCCATCTGAGAGTACGGCACATCCGAAAAAAAAAAAAAAAAAAAAAAAACTCTTTAGAAAACGGCGAGAGGAAGCCACTGCAGCGACTAAACACGTTAAAACGGGTACGGCGAGAAAAGAAGTAAAAAAAGTAAACAGGAAAAGTTGTGGAACATAGACGTAGTCTAGGACAAGTAATAAAGCTTGTGAAGCACCTGGAGTGTTCAAAGCTTTCCAGTGATCAAGTTCTTCCAAACACGCGTTCAGGACGCTCAAGATGCGATCACATTTCCACGTCGCTCGCGACGAGTGCTTGTCGCATGGCAGTCCCAGTTCACGGTCCTTAAACGCATCTAAGGCGGAACCTAGAGCTCCAAAGACCAAGTCGACGAAGGCAGTCGGACATGTGACGTCGTTTGGCTGAGGTGAACCAACTATCCCCAAGCACCGCTTGGGATTTCCGAACCCATCCGCAAGAATGTGAGCGAACGACATGGCGGAATAAAAACTCCTGCCAAGCCGGAATATTGCGAGCCTAGCACTACATACACATGCTCTCTTATCCCTGCTGATGCAAGTCCACGAAGCGACTCGAGTAAAACAGCATGGCTTTGGCAAACGAGGAATTTGTGAAGGCGGAAATGAGGGCTGCTTGTTCGTTGCTCGTCAGGCTCCAGGTTCTTGGGATGTCACCCTGGCTCCAGGTGACAGTGGAGGGAAACACAAGAACAAAAATCGTCATAGTACAGTTCAGAAGTGTCCTGTAACACCGATAATTGTAGCATGATTTCTTCGTCACGGAAGTTCCGTGCTCAAAGCCTTGCTGCTCCACGAACATTGCTGGAAGTGAATTCACGGCTGGGTGTAATCAGCGTCGTGGGCTTCTTCGCTATAAGCACTGAGCGGAACGAAGTTTATGTGCCTGCCGTGCCACAGAAGCAGCGCTCCAGGCGGGATTTTTCGAGGCTTGGAAGTGCAGGTTTTCTGCGTCAGATTCGGTTCCGGTGGTTGACAATGAGGCAAGGAGGAGCAACGGAGAGCTTGAACCATACCTGCTTTGGCTCGGCTTTCGGTCCGGAAACGGTATGGATGGCGGGGGCAGCAGTATCTGGTGCTGGGTTCGATAGAAATTCATGGCTAGTGTAGGGAGCCCCCTGTCGAGAAAATCGATGAGACTTCTGGCGATTGAGTGACGCGTTTCAAGGGTTGCGTGTGGCCAAGGCTACCCCAAAGCATCTGGGTAACGCGTTTCAAGTTTGGGCCAAGCCTTCACCTGACTCCGAGCCTTCTAGTAGGTTCGTGAAGAACACTCGGCAAAACGGAAGGGTTCATTCCCAAAGCTAGGGTTTCGTGTACATAACCTTTTGGGCCGCTCCTTCACCCTGGTTAGTCATGGTAGAGCAGTAGTTCTTTCAGTTCCATTCCGTTGGAGTTCTTTCATCCTTCCCCTGCTCACTGCAGGTTTCCTGAAGGTAGGTCTTAATCTATTGTTCAGCAGTTCCTAGAACGCTTTTACCCTGCAAACAAGTAATATATGCGATTGCTTGACGAAGCTTACCGTGTATTGTTTACAGCAGATGGCTGTCTCTTTTGCTTTTGTCAACGGTGACGGTGAAGAATCATCAGGCGAGGACCATCCACTTTGAAGACGTCTTTTTATCGTCATGGAAGATTGGTTTGTTGATTATATCTGTTTTTCTACGTGGCTGCCTGTATTGTTGTACATGGTATATCGTCTCTCTTCGTAGGAGCTTGTGCTTGTTGTCTTTGCACCTTTGCCCTTATGGGTGCGCTTACGGGGCGGGTGCCGAGATTAATGGAAATATTTTCTGTCGGAGGGCGAAGCTCTCCTTGTTTGTGTTAGGTACGGTAGATCCGTGCCTGTGCCGCCCGTTATTTCCCCCTCTCGTCCTTATTGTGTGACCCGCCAAGCCATCGTGAACCACACGCAGCGTTGGGCGTTAGCAATTCGATGTGGCGCAAGTCCATCAGCCATTCTGAGCAATATGATTGCTGAGAGGTCCATTAACAGCATAACGATGCGTGGAGGGCATGTCCATCAGCCATTCTGAAGTCCATCAAATCTCGTCCACACTTGGAAGCGATTGAAGAAGCGCCACACGACCTCGGAAGTCGCTCAAGTTTCTACATTAAGACGTTGTGAAGCTACCATTTCTGACGAAAGACGGTTGTTGGGTACATACTTGTACTAATACTGCCAGTGTAATGGCGAAAAGAGGATGAGCATGGATATATATTTCCGCTCTCCATGCCATACGTTTAATGGTGTACGGGGGCATCGTAAGCCAGTTTTTTGTACAAATATAGGAAATGGTGCTGAAATTCCTGATGTGGCTTTTTTTCTGCAGGCTGCGTGACATCCTGGTTGGATCTACAATGTTTCATCTGCATTCCAGGTGGGCGTCATAACTCTTGCTATCTAGATACTGCCTGATTCTTGCAACTATTGTTTTCACGTATGACATTGTACCTGTAACGGTTTGAAGTTATGGTACCTGGCTGGTTCATGCTACTGAATCTTGCTGCAAGCAGTCACTGCACTAGTGTCTGTCAGTGATTCGCCTGGTAGCCACGTGATCTGCCTATGCCCTTCGGCCTTCCTGCTCCACTATCACGCTTAGTTGCTGCTTAGTTGCTGTCGGATTCCTGATTTGATTTGTAAGAAATTGTCAAGCTGATATAATCTTCATTTCCTTTAGTGGCAGCAATCCATCTCCCAGTGACAGGAAGATTTAAAAGGGTAGTGGAATGAGACTATCATATTCCATTTTGGAGTTGCAACTTGATGGAATGGTATGCCATGAGAAGTGAGTGTCGTGTATTTGATGGTAATGCCCAAGTATAAGTAAAGTCGAATTAGCTTGTGTTGGTATGAACTGGCGTTGAGCACATTTAGCATGCATTTTGTTGAATGCTTTTAGGAGAGTTCAACGTGTAAACCGTTCTCAACCCCCCTTAATGGTGGTGGGGGTGTAGTCCAGCTTGACGTGTGTCATGGTTTGGACCTCGGTTCGCCATTCAAGCCTGGCATGGCTGGATGGTTTGGAACGAAATGATTAGTCTGCATGAGTTGGGGTTTTCGTGGTTTGCCAGTCCCTTGGCCAACAAGGCATAACGTCACCGAACTTTATTGGTGGGGCAACGGGAAAATGTTTTCTTGCGTCACTGGAATTGTGAAATCAGTTTCGATACTGTTCGTATATTCGACTTTTCCAACACTTTTCGACACAATAAGATCTCTGTAAACATTTCGGGCAGCCCACATAATGATGTCGGACTAGGTTCGCCCGCTTCAAACCTTCCTCCAGCTCACCAGAAAGTCTCGAACCTCGAAAGCGGCTCGTCAAGCACGTTCGCCATGCCGCGCAACTCGGGCTCGTCAGTCAGTTCTTTCGGGGTCAGAGAGGTCCGCTCACGCCACAGCCGAGGGTTTTGTTTCGATGAGTCCGAGGGAGAGGTTCCCAACTTTCCCAGCACGGCAGGCAACAATTAATAATGGAAAGAGGTTGTCAGGGTCATTGTATCCACCAGCATCCAGGATCTTCGCTTTTCTTAGGGTTTCAGGATAGTGACGAGTACTCAGAGCTCCAACAGCCGTGGCGTTCGTCGTCTTCTGTATGTTGGCATCGATGAGTTTATGAGCGTGAGTTGTTCTCGTCTTCATGGAAACTGTTTCTGTGTTAGGGTTGTTCTGTGTCAGTTGGTTGGCAGGCGCTTTCTTGGAGCAACAAGCAGCAGGGCGAGGGACGAGCATCCATGGGGATTGTCAGTTCTGAAGACTTATCAACCTCTTCTGTGACGCTTGGTTTGTGATTGTAGATATCAAATTGTCTATCTTCTCTGTATCTTGTACTTGTGCTTAGCTTAGGACCTTGTGGTTGTTGTCTTTGCACCTTGCCCTTATGGGTGCGCTTACGGGGCAGGTGCCGAGATCAATGAAAGTATTTTCTCTGGGAGGGCTAACCCCTCCTTGTGCGTGTTTGGTGCGGTAGACCCGTGCCTCTGCATGCTTGCTTCGTTGCCTTTGTCTTGATCTATGCCCCTTTGACGACTTCCAAAAGGAACACGTGAGACGCGGAAATTTACCGTCTTCATGTGGTATACGACCTGGAGGGTCTCTTGAACGTGGCGATACTATACGTGAAGTCGTTATCTGGCACATGGAGTCACTCTCGCGCCTGGAATCGAAACAGTGCTTTTTCTACTGGTTGTAGTTTTACTTTAACAATATGTATTCTTCCCATAGTTACCAACATGTGTTTTTCTATGCTGATTACAACATTGCGAATGGACTGTCATGTGTTACACTTGTTGTAGCTACTCGATTGTTTTCAGTTTCACTGTCTTCATTGCAGGACGAAGTTGCAGGCTTTTTTCCATGTGGCACCAGTGGGTATTTATATTGCTTCTATGTTGAATCGTTAGTACTTCATCAGGGTGATTGCTTCAGTGTTAATTTGTGTTGCTATTCTACAGATCAATATTTCCCCATGTTTTATCTTAATACCTCGTCATTTCGAGCAACCAGAGAAAGTCCCGAACTGAACCGACATATCGTGCCTGTTGCCTTCAAGCTGTCCAGCCAAACACAGAACTCGGACGAGCAGCACTTCCCCCGCCTCAACCAACCAACGGTCCCCTGTCACACTGTGTTGACTCAGCACTGCCGACTGTCTTTCTCTGCGACGTACGTGGCTGAAACACAGCCAATCCGAGTGTTTGATGGTCTGTTCTGTAGGACAAACTTCCGCGTAGCTGGGGGAAAA